ACAATTTCCCCTTATATAGGGGGGGTTCAAACTTTGAAACATTGTATAAAAAATAGAACTTTTTCAACTGAACTTTTGAAAATGTTCCGGAAATACTGCGTCCTTTAAACATATATCAAATTAAAGCTTTTTTTATGTACTATAAAATGAAAAAAAAAAATTTGTCCCGACACCTTATCTTCTATGTGCAAATGGCTGTCGAAATTATAAAAAAAATGTAATATTTGCGATAAAAATCACCTTTTATAACGATGTTTTTTGTACTTAAAACTGCCATAACTTTTTCAAATATTAACTAATCAAAATAATATTTCTTTATATTGAAACCTTAGGTAATTTCCTTTTATTTGATATCATTTTTTTTTGAAAATCTAACACTTATTCTGCTCACAAAGGGGATTTAAAATAGTAACTTTTTTACAAAAATCAACTTTTTCAACTTAATTTTTGAAAATGTTCCGGAAATACTGCGTCCTTTAAACATATTTCAAATTAATGCTTATTTTATGTACTATAAAATGAAAAAAAAAAATTTGTCTCGACGACCTATCTTCTATGCGCAAATGGCTACCGTATTCAAAAAAAAAATGTAATGTTTACGATAAAAATCACCTTCTATCGGAATGTTTTTTGTACTTAAAACTGCCATAACTTTTTCAAATATTAACTAATCAAAATAATATTTCTTTATATTGAAACCTTAGGTAATTTTCTTTCATTTTATATCATTTTTTTTTGAAAATCTAACACTTATTCTGCTCACAGGGGGGATTTAAAATAGCAACTTTTTTACAAAAACTAACTTTTTCAACTTAATTTTTGAAAATGTTCCGGAAATACTGCGTCCTTTAAACATATATCAAATTAAAGCTTATTTTATGTACTACTAAATGAAAAAAAAAAATTTGTCCCGACGACCTATCTTCTATGCGCAAAAGGCTACCGTATTCAAAAATATGCTATTTTTTTATTAAAATTCTGGGTTTTGTATTTTATTTTATTTTAAAATATCTTATTAGGGGAATAAACTGACTTTCAAGAATATTATATAATTTCATTGACATAGAATGAAGTTCATAAGACATATAAAATTAAACTTATTAAAATTTTTTTACTTTTTTAAAGTTGAAAAAGTAATTTTTAAATTTAAGTTAGCTTAAATAGCCAATTTTTTCATGCAACAAAAAGCAACGAACAGTTGCCGCATGGGTAACACCTTGAACTTTCACGCCTAGGGTACGAGGTTCACAACCGCCTGTGGCTTTTAAAATTTTGCATTTTTTTTTGAGTTAGAATAGAATTTTCCAATCATTTGATATTTATCTCATTTAGATTCAATAATTTCAATAAATATAAAGGATCTTATCACTATAGTCTCCCCTCGTGAGAAGAAATTGATATTCATGTTAATATTATTTTACTATGTGGTTCTTTTTCTGGCTACGATTTATTTTGCCAACCCTCACTAGACCTACTTTTTTCAACGATACGTCAAATGATTCATTTAAGTTTATGATATTTAAGTTAATGATTAGTTTAAGTTATTACTCTTAAAAATCAAAAAAATATTCCTTATTCAAATAAAAAGTAGCTTAACTAGATTTGTCCATACAAACAATTAAAATCATTAATTTTTAATATTCTTAAATTATTTATTGTCGAATTAAATTTGATATGATAAAAGTATTCAACTACAAAAGTAAATAATTTTACTTTATAATTTATTAATTTTTTAACTCTATTTCTGTGTGCTACTACCAGTCTATAATATGCCAAATTTTTTAGTAATATGTTGCTATATAAATCATAAATTTAAAAAAAAAATGATTTTTAGTTTCACCTGAAGTTAACGATGGAGTTTTACAATTATAATTATATTTTTGATAATATGCTCAATTGAGTAAATCTTTTTAACTACTTTGGTTTGATTGGTTCATTTAATTAAAGTAAATTATTAAAATTAATTAAGTTCTGAATATTTCAATTGCAGAATTTTTTTAAACACCAAAAGTTATTAGGATATGATTACTATTCTTTCTATTTCAGTTATCTATTACGATAAAAATGTAAAAAAATCGAATTTTTCTGACAAATGTACTGTAATTAGTAATTATAAAATTTCCAGATTGCATATTAATCTTAAAAATTTCATTTTTTTCAATTTAATAATGTCAATTTCAAACTTGCAAGTTGAACTATAAGTTATGGTAACAAATTCATTTTTTAGCTTCGATGCGAAGCTGAGAAGGTATTTTTCATTAAAACTTTCACTTTAAAAGACAATAAANTATTTCAAACTTGCAAGTTGAGTTAAAAGTTATGGTAATAAATTCATTTTTTTTTTATTAAAACTTTCACTTTAAAGAACAAAAAGAAGTAGGTTCAAAATGATTACTTTTAACATATTAAAAATCAATAATAATTTGAAAATAATTAATTATAAAAATTATATAATATATAATTAAATGAATTACTAATCTGAATATAATTAAGGAAATAGGAGATGATGTTGGGTTGGGTTGGTTACATTTTTAACTTTATAATGCTATAACTCATTGAAAAGTGTAACACAATTTTTTTATGAGAAATAATATTTTTTAATAATCCCTTTTTCATTCGACATTCTTTATCTTAATCAGGGTATTAATAAGGAACTAGCAGATCATGCAGCTTTTGTAATTATCCACCAATTTCTTAGAATTAAACACTATCTACTGATTTGCATCGAAGCGTTTCTTATGATAGTGATTTTAATCACTGTCAGATTAAATTTATACTGGACCCTACTATGCAACGTCCCCACTATGCTGCGACTCCATTGTGCTGGGTTTTTTGTTGTTTATCATTATTCGAAAACTGGAAAAACATAATAATAAAATAGTACGTTTACCATAAAATTATATCAAATTAATAGTAGTTACTCATGAAATCTAAAAAATATATAAATTTAATTGCCGATAAAATTATATTTATTGATGGAAACGATGTCTATAGATAATTTTATTATATAATAGAACAAGGAAAAAACGCTTTTCTAGGACAATTACGTAGCGTGTTCGGATTTTCAAAATTTTTTTTTCAACGAAAATACTCGGTTATCAGTCTTTGGGAAAATTATTAGCGAATGCTGGGTAATTTTTGCCGCTCACCCGCAAGCGTTTTAAAAATTCTGCTGTTTTCGAGAAAAACGCATGCTGACGACAGCGATTTACGACTTAAGGTTTGAAATTTTCACCAGACCCGCCCAATGACACTTTTGAGATATGATAAAAAAAATCAATTCAATCCGTTCATTTTTCATCGCATTACAACCATTTTTTTTTCACATGCGAGAGACGCCAGGGCGCGCTGCCAGAAATTCTTGCGACACTTTACATAGTAATGATTTTTTTTCGATTCGCAATCATACTACAGCGCACCCAGAGAAAAACCTCGATCTATATAATAAATTCATTGTTCAATTTGATAAATATATCATTACTATTGAATCAATGATATATTTATCAATATGATATTTTTTTTCTTGTCTTGAACAACAATTATTCATAAGAATAATTATTTTGTTTGTATTAATAAAACATTATCATAAACCCTTGATAAAATTTCTCTTTCAATTTTGATTGAGGTTTTTCTTTGGGTGCGATCTGCACGTGCCGGGGAAGTATTACAATAATCGATAAAGGGTATTACGGTTTAATGGTAACTATCAATATAGGGTAATTACCGCAATTATCGTTATTTACATTACAATTGATGTTAATACTGATATTTAATTTAACAATCCACCAGTCCTATACTATTACATAAATTTTACTAAACAAGAGATTCAAAGATTAAAAAAAATCCAATAATTTTAATTTGTATATTTTGTTTAAGAACTAACATTTTTTTTCGATATGCTATTTAATTCAAATACCATCATAGAAAATTTCCTGCTGTGTGGTCGTCCGACCATTGCGTTAAGAATAGCTCTGCATAAATAAATTAGACGGTGTTAACAAAGAAAGAAATAATTAATTTTTATCTTTTTGTTACAGCAAAGAATTTATATAGAATTTCATACTAACGAATTATTTTATTGTCATTACTAGAAGGTAGTAACTTACTTATAGTTTTATTATTATTCAATTATGATAAATTAAATTTACTAAATGGTACAGATATTTAATTATTTTTAGTGATTTTACAAATACTGATTTTTGGAGTTGATCCGAACCAAACCGAACAATCTAAAATTTTAAATCAAACTCGAATCGAGCATCATTTTTAATTTTTTAAGGCAAAAAATTTTTGTATCCATTATTTAACAAATTAAGTGTCATATTTAATTACACTAATTGATTTTAAAATTAATCTTTAAGATTAAGGCGAGGAAGAAGAAAAATAATTAAACCAAATACTGCAAGTTTGGTTCAGTAAAATATTAAATGGGTTCGAACTAATTTTTGCTTTCTGAAATTTTATATATAGTGTTTACTCCTGTTTATTCAATTTTAAATTACTAAAATTGTTTTTAGGTTTACCACTTAATTTTAAAATGTTTGCTAATTTAAGACAAAAATGTGTGAACATTTTAAGTTTTTCAATGAAAAATTTGATTTTAATAAAAAGTTTCAGGAAGAATTATTACTTAAATAGTATTATTATAATAAGTATTATATTATACTTATAATTATAATTTAATTATAATTCAAATTTTAGGTAAAATATTTTTTTAAATTTTAAACGTTTTAATTCATAGTACCTGCGTAATATGTACATTATACCTTAAATAAATTATTTATCACGTGCTATTTTTTTTATTTTTCGGTGGGTTAAAAATAAAAATGAAACACATTAACATGGCTGATTATTTTTGTGCAAATATTTCTAAACTTCGAAAAAAATTATAATATTCTGTGAATTCTTATGAATTATGAAACTGTTTGCAGAAACGTCAAAAAAATATTAGTTATTTATATAATAACACATGTTTAAATAAATTAATAGAATAGTTAAGGAATACATTTTCAAAAGAAAAAATTTGGTAACTGTTCTTTTTATCCTTGACTGTCAAATAATTGGTGTTAGAAGATTTTCTTTTATTAAAGCAAAAATATTATAAATAACAAAATAATTTTGATAGTAACACAAATATTAAAATATTCACTGGAAATATGGTAAGTACAGATAATTATTTAAGTACTTTTTATTATACTTGTGCTTAGATTTATAATTTTTTATGCTCGTCTATGATTATAATTCCATATATAATACTATTTTATAAAACGATTTCAGTTTAGTATTATAAATTTCTTTATGCTATTTTTTAACTATTAATTGTAAAAATACATTTTCAAGTTTTTATAAAATTCATGGATTAAAAACTATGTGTAAAATTCAATATAATATTCGGATTTTACTGATAAAATATGGTAGCGCAATAGGGTCGTGGCAGAGTGTGAGCGTGGCATAGTTAGGACTTAGAGATTTTATTTTGTCTTCATGATGAAAATAGCTACCGTATTCAAAAATATGCTATTTTTGTGTTAAAATACTTGGTTTTGTATTTTATTTTATTATAATGGGTTTATACTAATTTTCATAAATATTAAAATTTGAACTAGCTAAATTTCCAATTTTATTAGTGACGAATGCGACGTACGATTTCTGAGACGGTAACACTTGGATTTTTCACGCCTGTGGCACTGAATTTTTTCTTAATTCTTTTGAGTTAGAAAAAAATGTTTAACTCATTTGATTTTTATCTCATTTAGATTCAATAACTTCAATAAATATAAAAAATCCTATCACTGTAGTCTCCTCTCGTGAGAAGAAATTCATTATTAATATTATTTTACTATGTGGTTTTTTTTTGTAGCTATCATTTATTTTCTCAGCTCTCACTTGACCTACTTTTTTTTTTTTCTAATTGAACACTATCTACTGATTTGCATCGAAGCGTTTTTTATAATAGTGATTTTAATCACTGTCAGATATCATCCATACTGGACCCAACTATGCCACGACCTCACTGTGCCGCCATTCCACTTTGCTGGGATTTTTTAAACTCATTTTTCGCGCTGATTTCAAATCTGTAATTAGATTTTTTTCATCGCCATTAGATAGTAATTATATTTATGAAATTGGTTTTTAATGAATGGGCAAACGTTCGTTGCAATCGTCGTTTGATAAAATTGACAATTTAAGCTAATTTAAATGTTATAATTATTTTTTAGCTTCGATGCGAAGCTGAGAAGGTATTGGTTTTACTAAGATGTGTTTTTTTTTTTTTTTTTTTTTTTTTTTT